AAAACATACCCTGATAGCTCGACCATCACTATCTTTATGCTGAATTAAATGTTATTTTTGTATTAAAATTTTAATTCTGTATCAATAAAAATTCCGTTGTGACAACCAAGACCTTTTAAAAATGTTACGGATATCTTTTGAAATGCGATGTTACATGTATGAAAGGATGAAACTACATGAACGGGATAGATTGACCACATACCCAAATTAACAACCTTGCCTTCGTTGAAATAATGAAATTATTTTACACTAGATGTTGGATCACACAAACGTAGACGAAAATAAAATTTCTTATATATAAAAGAAACAGAACGGTTATTTATCGGCAATGAATGAAGAATCCTAAAGGTAAAATATGAAGCGAGAGTTATTATTATTTTTATTACAGTTGCGAACCTCGACTCATTATTATTATTATTTGTATAATTTTAGCTGCAAAACTCGACTCACTTCTGGCACTGGTATAAAGAGGGCTTGGTGCCCGGATTGAGGGCCTCTGTCTGGTACAACAACGACCCACCATTGGGTCAGCGCGGTTTCCTAGGCGACAGGACGTGTAGGATGATGGGATATGCCACCATGAGGCAGGTCAGAGTGAAGCCAGGTGAGACAGGCGTGGCTAATTATAAAACTTTACGAAACTAAAACTGGGGTAATTATTACCTGTTCACCTTCACCTGAACATGTTATTCAGTTGTGAATAAGTCTGTCAGAGTGAACAGACGAAACGGTCAACAGGTAAATCATATATATGTATGGATCAATCTGAAATAGAAACTTTCTGCATATCAAAACTGAGATCCAATGAGACTATTTTTCACATTTTAAATTGAACTGTCTAAATCCTTTGTAATGAGACTGCATTCGGGATAACGCCTTTAATCATCTCCAGACCTGTTCAACTATCTTGAATCTTCGAAAACAAAGGATAATAAGTAATAACGGGGTCTACTGTACGATATTGAATGATAATTTTAAATGGAATCACGTAAATAGAGGACAAATAATTGTTTGTGATTGGCCGCAAAACTGGTGCTATGCTTTTTTCAGTTCTCTGCTCTGAAAGATTTCTGTGCTGTTACGAAAAATAGTTTCTGAAAACGAAATGCTTTTCTCTCTAGGGTTGCCCGAGATTTACAAATAATAATAATAATAATAGGTTAACGTTTTCCTTTTTTTATTCCAGGGCAGTGCAGAATCCACGACCTACTGACTAAAGTGATCAAGGAGTGTAACGAGGCCTATAGCATAATGGAAGAGGAGGATGGGTCGTTTGGAGTGGGCTGGGTCCCTTTCAACGGTACCTCCACCGTCAACAACTCAAGGTGTGTGTAAATATGGAACAGTAGCACATTTGACCTTCATAGGACCTTTGTAGTTAGTTAAAGTGCATGCAAAACATAATGGGCATAGCTCTTTACAAATTTTACCCGTTTTCCAAATTTTGACGAGTAACAGTAAATGGGTTTTATTCAGTTTTCTTGCATTGACAATCTATGAAGTTCCACAAGAGTAAATGTTTATTTTGCTTTAAAAATGTTATAGTTAGGCAGAAATATCAGTACATAGCATAATTTGCCTTGTATAGTGCGTTATCACTGCATATATTTCCAGCCCGGAGTACACATACCGTACCTCTAGCGAGCTCGACGGTTACCCACACTACGGTCTGCTGACGGTGTACGGCGGCGGAGGGTATGTGGCGGAGCTTAGAGGCAGCGCCAGAACCCTGCTTGCCCTGGGAGAGCGTCTGGAGAGGGAGAAGTGGATAGACAAGTACACCCGCGCGGTGCTTGTGGAGTTCACGTGCTACAACCCCGGTATCAACCTCTTCTCCATTGGGACCATGGTGGCAGAGTTTCCAGAGACTGGCGGAGTTTTTACCAGCTACCGATTTGAGCCAACGCGTCTGTTCAACTATCTTGGGTCTGCAATGGGGTTCCAGATTTTTTGTGAGGTGTCATACTTTGTTTTTATATTCTTCTTCATGTATAAAGAGGGTAGGAAGATGTGGCGGGCTCGATGCAAGTATTTCTCAGAGTTCTGGAATCTTGTGGAGTTCTCCATCATTGCGTTCTCGATTGGTGGCGCTGTGGTGTTTTTCTATCGTCTGCTTCTCACCGATACCTTGGCAACTTCCTTCAAGGAGTCCCATGGCAACAGTTATATCAAGTTCCAGTATGTAGGCTACTGGAACGAGATGTACAGCTACATGTTAGGTTTCATCTGCTGTCTCGGCACCTTGAAGTTCTTGAAGCTGCTTCGCTTTAACAAGCGTATGTCCTTTTTGGCGGCAACGCTTAGGCACAGCACCAAGCACCTGTTTGCGTTCGCAGTCATGTTCTTTATCGTGTTTTTCGCATTCGTGCAATTCTTCACTTTGGACATGGGCACTCAGATCCTGAACTTTGCCAACGTGCTGTACGCCAGCGAGTCCTGCATGCAGATGATGCTGGGAAAGTTCGACTTCTGGGGGCTGGCATCTGCCAGTGAACTCGCGCCATATTTCTTCGTCCTCTTCGTGGTTCTGGTCTCCTGGATCACCATCAACATGTTCCTGTCGATCATGAACGAGAGCTTCACCGCCGTCAAGAATGACCTTTCCAAGCAGCCCAACGAATACGAGATGGTGGACTTCATTGTAACTAGGTTCAAGCTCTGGACGGGGCTAGGGGCTCCAAAAGCCGGTCAACCCACCGCTGCCACCACCCCGGACAAACTGAACAACGAGAAGACCGAGGGTCAGGACAAGGAGAACTCGGTGGAGACCGATTTGAATCATTTCCCAGAAAAAGTGGACCGGCTCCTGAACACAGTGGGCCGCGTTTACTTCGACTTGGAGACAAACAGCGGAAAGGACGCGTTCAAGCAGATGCTTAAGGACAACAAGTTGAAGGCAAAGATGCACAGCGGAGGCTACGGCAACGGACTAAAGGATCCAGAGGCTGAAGACTTGGCAATGCTCTAACGATTTCTGCACTGTTTCAGTGTCGACGAAGCACAAAGAGTGCCCAATATTCTCCGTCTCGTACGATAAGCTAGCGAATAATTGGCAGTGAAAAAATTAATCTATAAAATGTCAATTGTATTGGTCAATTTTTGTAGCCTTTTCGCTTTCCAGTGATTGATTTGTTAATTATCTTCATGTGACGTTGCCACACGTTAGTACTGTCGTTCTGGTAATTTTTATCTTTTTGGTAATTAATATTTTTCTGGTATTTTTTGTCCATTTTAATACTAAGCTGCAGTATTTTAACTTTATCCCCTTATGTCCAAAATATTGTATTAGTCCGACAGAGACCACGGTTCTGTTTAAAGTACAAATTCGAAAAATACTTACTGTACACGGAGTACTAGATTGTGTTTATGATTCTAAGACATTGGGCACTGTGAGTGTTACGGACCTGATATCTTCAGTTCATTCAGAAATGGAATCTGTTTTAGTTATAATGGTAATTATTCATTTTTAGTGTATTACAATTGTCCTATGCGCTAAAGAACCAATAACCTTAAGGCAAAGACAAGACATAGTATTGAATCTACATTCTCTCTTTTTCGAAGGGACATATGAAAACATTTTGAAATACAAAACTGCAGAGCCGATAATTGACGTACACTGTATACAAGTGTATCAGCCATTTGGTATTTTGTATGGAACAGCTAGCATATACTGAACCATTTACAACCAAAATATACAGAACATTCTCATTCTCTGAGACACTCTCAAAACGTTATATCTCCCAATGTTCAGAATTGTTAGATCTCCAAAAACTTTAAATCTTCAGAAAATCCTCAGAAAATGTAATGTACAAACTTAAAACTAATTTTAAGAAACTGATTGCTATCTTACCAATTAATTATTTTATGGACTAAATCCAACTTTTAATTGCAAGAAAAAGATTATTATTATTATTATTTCTCTCTTGTTTCGGTAAATGATTTATCTCTGGAAGAAGAGTAGTGTATATTTAACACGCTCTTATTTAAAAGGAAACACCATTTATGTGCACCAGCACCTTTAGTGTGCAGCAATAAACATGTATGTGTTTAATAAAATCATGTCACGCAAATATTATTTCTTAAATTTGTCACTTAGCTTGGGTTGTCTGGGCAAAAGTTCACGCTTTGGTGATGCATGCCCTCTCTCTCTCTCTCTCACTCTGTGTGTGTGTGTGTGTGTGTGTGTGTACAGTTGTTGTCGTTGCTCTTGTTGATACTGTTCGTCACAATTTCACCAAATACCTCCCTGGCGGTAGAGCTTTCATAGACTGTATCCGTGTATCACTAACCTCAGACCCAAATTAAAAAATGGCAAACATTTGCTCAATCTTAAACTCAGTAAATATATCATTGTGCCATTATATTCAAGTAAGTTTCCTCAGTTAGAAGCTAGAAAGTTTCCATTTGAGCTATTGGTTCTTCTAAATGACCATGGGTTGGCTTCGGAATCGAGAGAAGTCACGACAAATTACGTTTTGCATAAAACGGGTACACTTTAAAATCGCAATAAATTAATTATATATATATGAACTACATGACCTACATGTCATCTATATTTCTGTTAATGAAAATACTGTAATATGTGGAAATTTGTAAATTGTTCTATGTATTGAAGGAACAGCTTTTGATAAAACATTCATACTGTAATATTTTCTATTCATTAAAGAATAACAATAGTTGTTTTAAAATCATGCAATTATTATTTTAGGAATATTTTTGGTAGCCATATTGGACTTTTTAGACATGCCCCTATACCCAAAATTGCATAGAAGTTCATTTTCCACAACTGTTCTAAATTTCATGCTTGTAGTTAAATGTGCATGATAAATCCACCATACTGCCGCCTTAAATTTACTTTTGGAGGCTATATTGGATTTTAATATTACAAAAAAAAGCAATTATTAATATTTTGTACTGTGGTGCTTTCTAACCATTAGATGATACTTAAAGTTATTAAAAGGGTACTGGGGTATATACTTCAGGTTTTATCTTGAAAGGATATTTTTGGTGGCCATATTGGAATTTTCATGAATGCCCCTATTATATCTTCATTCCATTCCCTACAACTGACCCAAATTTCATGCTGGTGGGTTAAAAAGTGCGCGAATCTTCACCATTGTTTGACGACAGTATACTACACTAGTTGACTGGCGTCATGATTGCTCAGAATGTGAAAAAAGCACAAAACTTCACAAATGTTCTTTAGACCCCATTCCCATATATTTTCAATCGATCTATCCCTGTGGGGAGTCTCACTAGATTACTGTCAGCTTAGCAAGCTTAAGCGTCTGTCCCGCCTACTAAAAGCTGTAAGGGGGTAATTAACCATGGTGCGCGCTCGGCTGACTGCAATTTAGCGTGAACCCCCAGGGAGTTAGGACGATCTAAATCTAAATCTCTGGATCGATCTTAATCTCTGGGAATGCACCCTTAGACTAAATGCTGATCATTTTCAATTCTTTAATTTACCTGAAGGAACCATGGTTCAGATTGGATATACCGTGTTTCTTTTCCTTCTTATGTTGGATCCCAGGTAAGTAGTAGCAAGCAAATGTACTTCTTTTTGTAAAAGTACAAAATGTAGTAGTGATGGTTAATGACAGTCACTGTATGGTGGACTAACTTCTAGTAGTCCGAGGGTCAAATATGGCGACTCACTAAAAAGCTTGCCGTCCAGTCTGCTAAAAGACACTGAATAGATTCCCCGTGGGTCGGCCATATTTGACCCTCAGTCTAGTTAGTCCACTGTTATGAATGCAGCCAACAGATTTTTTAGTTTCAGCTTTGAAGAGAACCAACCGCTGTAACAAGGGGGGGGGGGGGGTGAACTCCCAAGACGGAATATGTTGAGTTCATTGATAACCTTGCCATTTTGTTTCTTTCACACACACAGTACACGTAAAATAGTAAGTTAACGAAGAAATTACATAGTAGCTTTCTTCGTCCTAATTAAGTAATTAAGTAAGCATAAGAAATGAGCTTACTTATGGCCCGATTCGACCGATTTTGGTTTGGATCAAAAATTGAATTATATATTAGACGCTAGTCTACCATAACGCATAGAAAATAAAAATAAAAATTGATTAAAGGCCCCTCGATTAATTGTTTTTATGGGGTACTAGTACATGAGGGTTTTGCAACATTTATCTTAAGTGCCTTCAACAGATAAGATACGGGAAAGCTCATTGTGAAGACCGCATATTGCTCACTTACTTGCATGATACTGACTCCATCGTATACTACTAACAGAATTGCATATTACTGACTGTATCGCATTCTGCCGATTCTGCTGCTACCGTTCACTGTTATAGTTTATTTCTATCACTTCAGCTTTAGTGTGACATCAATGTATTCCCGCAGAATATCTTCCCCGGGAATAAACTGAAATAAAATCTTATTATGTAGTCGTTTTTCTGTGCTACAATTTTTCTGTACAATGCATTTTATGTACAACGGTTTTACCTTTGCAGCAAGTAACAGCTTGTAAGCTGGCCTGGTAGGTCGGCGTGGGGTGGGGAGGGGGGTGTTGACGTAGTACACCAAAATGGCTGGTTCGGGAATGAGGTGTAGCACAGTGGACCATATCGATACTCCCCTCCCCCCTATCTCCAGTTCCAGGGTTTCCAACCTTTCAATCGCCCCTTTCTTCCACCCCAGAAAACAATATGTGGTGACAATACCGGCAGGAAAAAAATAAATATTTAATGGAACTGGGTATTTATTCCTTTATTTAGTTAAACAATACTGGTAAGAATATCGGTAGAAAATAAAAGGAAAAATACTTTATCCCTGACATTTTATATATGTAAAGTCAGACATTGCTTTGCATCGTCACCCTAATAAGCAAAATCCGTGCCGTTGTTCGCGCAAGTAGCAGAGTATAGTAGCTTAAATTGTCACTACATAAACAGTGTAAAAAATCAGGCAGGCTTTTGATGCGACAGTTCAAAGCGCTGTCAATAATTGATGAAAGATAACTCCAGATGAGTGTCTACCCCAGTTAACAATGGAAATATTTTCACGTGTACTTTTGAACAGGTCTTTGATAAAATCAGACAATTCCATCAGTTATGGGCTTGCATGTTTGTGACACGCTTGTAACAATAGGGTTCCACTCTTCGTCTGTAGATATTATATCCAATTGGCCGAGATGAGCGACGGTATCCAATTGGCCGAGATGAGCGACAGTGATCTGAAAGCCAAGTTTTTAGAGTATTGTGACTCTGGAAAGGACAAAATCACTGCTAAAAACCTGGTTAGAATGTTTACAGATTGCAAGCTATTTAACGAGAAGTTTCATTCAACTGACTTGGAACTTTTATTCGATAAGGTTAAAGATAGGGGGTAAGTTATTTTATTGTCAATAATTCTTTATCTGTCAGTGTTTGATTTTTCACGTACTTTTAAGCAAGATCCCACCTTAAATGCCACGCCATATTGTGTTTAACATAAGATTTAATTGGCTACTTAATTTGAATAAAATACCGGATGAGTTTGGAAATCAGCATGATAGGATTACAATTTACAAAATTTACTGGAATTTTTTTGCTGCATGCATGCTTGTTAATCACTTTCTCACCATAAGTGCCGAACTTTAACTTTGTATTTAATTAACTGGGAAGTTTTGTTTGATAAAAAGTCATGTTGAGTTTTATATATAAATTTTAACCAAAAAAAAAAAAAAAAAAATGGCACAGGTTGTGGTGTCTCGCAATCATGTTTTCTTTAAGTAAATGTCGGTTTGGTTTCATTCCGTAGTCAAAAAGAATATTTTTTAAGCCATCACATGTCGAAAAAAGTCAGAGTGTATTTTGCTTTTAATGATAGGGATATTTCGTTAAATAGTGTGCACTGTTCGGTTTACAGTGAGCATAAGGTCTAGCAAATATGTATATACAGCCATTGTATTGCAGGTCAAGGGAAATAAACCTTCAGGACTTTGAGGCTTTGCTGGGCAATATAAAACTTAACGATGCATATGACTATCACTCTGATATTATTAGAGCCAAGATCGCAGGTTGTGTTAGACCCTGGTACAGCTCGAAAAACTGTAAGTTTACATGTACTGGACCCCGTTCAATTTATAATCATTAGTTGACAACGCTCAGCTAGTTGACTTAGCAAAGTCGACTATACTGTAGCCGACTACGAGTGTTTCACAAAGAATATAAAATTCTAGCTTCCTGCGTCTTAGTTAACTCTCTTGTTTCCAATCTGTTAAACTGATTGCAATCAGCAAGAGTCCCCGTGGAGTTAATGCGCATTAACTACTTCGACATAACTCATTCTGAAATTTCCCAAACACTTAGAAGAGTCTTAACATGTAATTAAACATCGATTAAGGGGTGCTCCCTTGGACAGAAGTTTTACCTCCAATATACGTTGTACCCATCATACGCCAGTCAAAATTAATCCAGTTAGTGCCATGTTGAGCTCGTGGGCGCCATTCAAGTGACCCCCTTACTCCAGCTAAAGTTGCCAGTCTCCCTCGGTGTTTCAGATACATAAGAAGCCATTCAGAACAAGATCAGAGGATCTACTGATCCACGGGTCAAATATGGCGGACCCTACATGAGAAAAAGAACCAACTAATCCGCTGATGGTCTCCCCGCCTCCACACGCGCCGCCCTTGCAGGTGTCTAGCTAGTAAACCTCGGGGTCGTGATTTAATCCTTTTAATGGCGCGTGTGGAGCCTGGGAGACCAGCGGATTAGTCGGCCCTTATTTCATGTAGGACCCGCTATATTTTATCCGTGGATCAGTAGATTCTCTGATCTTCTCTTCTGAATGGCTTCTTTGACCCCATTTCCAGAGATTAGATCGATCTACTTTAGATCGACTTAACTCCCTGGGGGTTCACGCTAATAGCTGTCAGCCGAGCGGACACGACAGTTAATTACCCCCTTACAGCTTGTAGTAGGCAGGACGGACATTTAAGCCGGATTATCTGACAGTAATCTAGTCAGACTCCCCGCGGGGATAGATCGATCTAAAAGCTCTGGGAATACAGCCTAATACTGCTTGTGTGAAAATAGCCTTCGCCCATAATTGTCCAATCTTGAACAATATACCATGGTCCTTGTACATCACTTCTGAATAAAACAGATTATTGAGCTTTCAGCATTAGTTATTTTTGTTTCATTTTACTTCTTTATCTTTTTTATTTTCCATGCCCTGGACACTTTTCTATTACAGTGTAACTCAAGTGGATGTTGAAACTGCTTACTTGAATGCAATATTTTGTATGTCATGTAATTTTGTAAATAACTCAGAAAATATCTGGTTTCAGTGCGCAGAGAACATTGGGATAGAATTGATGAGTCTGGCAATGGCAGGGGGTTTGGAGGACGTGAAGATGTTGCTGACAACAGTGGATATGGTGGAGGTTACTAGGGCGCTGGAACATATGACCCCAAGCACTGAATTTAGAAACTCAACTTTTCGTAGATTATTATGCAGCGTGCTGATATGTNAAAAAAACAGTTATTGATACTTCATTCATACTGTGGTGCTTTCTAACCATTAGATGATTTTTAAAGCTATTAAAACAGTATATATTTGAGGTTTTATCTTGAAAGGGTATTTTGGGGGGACATAGTGGAATTTTAACGAACGCCACTATATCTTCATTCCATTCCCTACAACTGAGCCAAATTGCATGCTGGTGGGTTAAAAAATGCACGCTTCCTCACCATTGTTCGACAATATTATAGGGGAAACACGATATGACATAACCGCGCATCTTGCGCATGTGCAAGCTTCGTTACTCAAAACAGGTTTTACCAAGCAACAGAGGGGCGTTTACCTGAAACAACCATGGCTCAGAGGCGATATACCGTGTTTCTTATCCTTCTTATGTTGGATCCCAGGTTAGTAGTAGCAAGCAAATGTACCTTCTTTATAATTATTAATAGTAGTAGTGGTGGTTAATTAGAGTCACCGTATGGCCGCATTCAGAACAGTAGACTAACTAGTCCGAGGGTTAAATATGGCAACCCACTAAAAATCTAATCCGCTAATAGACACTGAAGAGATTCCCCTTTGGAAAGTATTCAAGTGGGTCGGTCATATTTGCCTAGTTTGTCCACTGTTGGCCAACTGATCATTTATGGTGCATTCCCAGAGATATAGATCGATCCAGAGATTAAGATTTAGATCGACCTAACTCCCTGGGGGTTCACGCTAAATTGCAGTCAGCCGAGCGCGCACCATAGTTAATTACCCCCTTACAGCTTTTAGTAGGCGGGACAGACGCTTAGGGGACCGTTCACATGAAAAATCTATTTTCTAAAAATCTAGTAAAAGTAGTATCTCTATAAGCTTGTTGAAACATTCCCTGTTGATAAAAATAGCAAACATTACCTTTCCCGAGACCAGATAGTCCTCTCAGGTGAAACGATCAGCAAAGACCACAAAAGCAACATCAACTGTTTTCGCCTCCTAGCTCGCTTGCCATCGGATCATGAGGTTTGCACTCATATCTGTCGTGTGTATAGCTTCTTCATCTTCCTCGTCTCGTTGTTGCACAAAATCGACAAACACATTTTTCAAAGCAACCGCGACCGCCATTTACTTTCTAACTTCCTACTGCGCATGCGTCAAGGTATCAGAATCTCCTCCGAGCGTAGCCGAGAATTAATTACAGCTTTGGAAGTAACTCGCTCGCGCTGCCAGTAATTACGCCGCGGGGTATTCAGGGCACAGACCGTGATCACAAGTTACCGCCAATAGATTTTTAGATTTCTAGAAAATAGATTTTTCATGTGAACGGTCCCTAAGCCGACTAAGCTGACAGTAATCTAGTGAGACTCCCCACAGGGATAGATTGATCTAAAATCTATGGGAATGGGGTCTTGGTTTCAGCTTTGAAGAGAGCCAATCGCTGTAACAAGGGGGGGGGGAGGGACTCCCAAGACTGGAGTATGTTGAATTCATTGATAACCCTGATATTTTGTTTCTTTCAAACACAGTTCACTTGAAATAGTAAGAGAACGAAATAACTACATATAGGCTATCCTCATCCTAAATAAACCCATGAAATAGAGCACGTGTGATGAGCTTACTTATGCCCCGATTCGACCTATTTTAGTGTGGATCGAAAGGCTTACCAAATCGGAGTATAAGTTAGACGCTAGTCTACCATAACGCGAAAAAAATCAAAATTGATTAATTGTTTGTATATGTATGGGGTACTAGCACATGAGGGTTTTGCGACATTTAGTTTAAGTGCTTCAATTTGACCTTTGTCAAAGATATGGGCTGGTTTGGAGATTTTTTTGAGACTATAGAAAGCGACTCTGCTTTTCTTTTTTTTTTTTTTTTTTTTTTTTGCTAATGTCGGTGGCTATTACGCACCTATTATCAAAATTACCCCTTGTTTTTTTAGGTTCTATGTTGTTGTTTTTATGTTAAACCCATAATGCTGACTTTCTTGCTTGTTACCGACTCCTTCGTATACTACTGACAGAATCGCATAATACTGACAGAATCGCATTGTTTTGATTCTACTGCTACTTCAGAAGCCTACTGGCATGGTTACAGCTACCATACGCTGTTACCGCTTACTGTCATACATATGTAGTGTGCTTCTATCATTCCAGCTTTAGTGTGATATCAGAATCAATGTATGTAGGCCAATACAAAAGCATTCAAATACCTAAATGTTTTTTCAGCACAATAGGGAAACTGACTTATTGAACTGTAAAGAAGGAGTGCCTGGGTCTCAAAATTGTAAGGCTATATAGAAAAGAGAGCAGACATTAATACTGATATTGACGTCAGGGAGTTTGAGAGAATTATTGCAACCCGTTGCAGATTGTCATCACACGACCTGACAGCGGAGAAGGTCCGCTTGTCCCACGACCCTTTAGAGGATCAGAAATGTAGGCCTATCTGTAGCACCGGTGAAATCCAAACAGTAGAACATGTTTTGTGCTTTGTCCTGTGGCAAGCTCTATACGCAAGCAATTTCCTGCGTGAGATTTTAGCTCGTAGAATATCTTTGGAGAGGAGAACCTACGCACTACATGTGTCATTTGATATATGCTGTAAAAGTGTTTCTTTTTCTAATGCTAACATTATGTTATCGTTCTAGTAACTATTATTTAGGCCATATTGAGTCGACTAACTTGCGTATGAATTTGTTTTTGTTACGCAGATTGTAGATATATTATGCATATTCTAGGCTTGTAAAATCTATCTATGTATATATCTATCTATCTATCTACAACTGTATCTATGCCAGCAGAGTTGCTTCCCCTGGAATAAATTGAAAAAAAAATCTAATTATGTAGTTGTTTTTTTCTGTACTACAATATATATTGTAGCTGTTGCAGTCCAATCAATTCTTTATTTACCCTATATCGGCTGTTAGACATAAAATTAAGCTGAAATTGTGACTACAGACGGTGTAAAAAAAGGCAAGCTATTGATCGGACATTTCAAAACACAGTTCAGTTTTTTAATATCAGTAACGTGCTAGGATGTAGTCCATTACCCAGCAGTGTTCTTCTGACGGAGAACACATTCACTACAGCCACAAATAAAGTATATCTGTCGACTACAGCCGGGGGAGGGTTCGGTTGATTCGAAAGAACCGCCCTTTTTTTCAGGGAAAGGTTCATTCTGGGTAAAATTTGATCTAGGTGCAAAAAGGTGTCATTGTTAAAGGTCCACTTTTTCCAAAGAAAGCCCCCCCCCCCCCCCCCTTTGAATTTGCTGGCTACGGGACTGTTACCGTGCTTGCATTGTAACAAGCAGGTGACGTTGAAACAAAGAGGGGTGTATATAGTATAGTCTGTAGCCCTCTACATCTCTTTAGTTGAAAATAATGTGATGTAATGTACACGCTGAAATCACTATAATTTAATAACCTTGATCCCCCCCCCTCTGTTTCCACCCATTGTACATTTAGCTGCCATGTATCCCAGAGTACTTGGGGCATTTCTTCTTTTGTCCTGGCATGTACCAGTAATGCTTTTAAGCATATTAAAATATGAAAATTCAGATTGCACAATTTAAATATCCCCACGAGTACTGGATCCTTTTTTCCTGTGAGAATCCAAGCACTGTGATGGAAGGGTGTTACGGTAGTGTGCCAAACAGTTCGACCGAGATTAATTAATTTTAAGGAAACGTCACTTTGGTCAAATTGATTGCAATGAAAAGAAAAATTGAAGCAATGAAAACCGTATTACGTATTAATAAAAAAACATTTTTTTCTCAATGAAGTGATAATACTGACTATTTAATTTTTTCTTTTATTTGTAGATGTTATATCCATTCTGCCGAGATGGCCGAAAGTGGTCTGGAAGCCAAGTTTTTAGAGTACTGTAAGTCTGCTGGAAGGGAGACTACCGCAAAAAAGGCCACAATCAATAAAATGTTTACAGATTGCGAGCTGTTTAACGATAAGTTTGGTTCAATTGACTTAGATGTCGCATTCCATATGGCAAAAGCAAACGGGTAAATCATTTTATTTCTTGTTCTTAATCTAATCCTTTTGCTGTCAGTGTTTGATTTTGCACGTACATTTAAGCAAGATCTCGCCAAATGCCACGACATATTTTGTTTAACATAAAATTTACTTGGCTACTTAGTTTGATTAAAA